GTATATGAAGTACTCATGATCAAGAGTACAATTAAAGAATCATTTGTTAAAAGAATTCAAATAAAGATTTACAGATTTCTTATCTCAGAAGCAGGATGAACCAACTGACTTAAAAATTCCTACATCACAACTGCTTGTGGCAGTGTGTGTCTCATGTGGTACAAACAGTTATCAACACTGGATTCAAAACATACTCCATTTGGTTAATTCTGTGGTGTAATTATAGTCACATAGCTTAAGGCATCATCAATTAAATTGTTTTATCTGATATAAAATTTTTGATGATCATATGGATGATGTACGCTACCAATGTTAGTTCTGGCTTGTTCAACAAGTTGTATATATTTTGTTGCTGAATTTTACAATATTACACTGTAATTGAAGATATATATTTACGTATTGGAGAAGATTTAGAGCGATGCAACTAGTGGTACTAGCTGTTTTTCCTCAAGGTTAAGCTGATAATCATTTATATGTTTAGGATTTTCCTTTCAGACAAATATAAGTATCGAATTGTTAAGTGATATAATGTCCAATCTAAAATCTATAGGTTTTGGAGCTCCTGTATGAACAGGATACCTTCCATTACCCCTTAATATTACAATATAGTACAATAGAACATAAAAGAAAATATGAAAATGAAAGATTATTATAATCCCCACCTGAATATATCCAGCAGCTTCAACATAATGAGATCATGCAATAAAAATACGAGAACCTGGTCAATATAACACTGGACTATTATTAGCCTACCAATTTGAAAATCTGAAATATTGCCAGTCACCCAGCTGTCAGTGCACCAGGTCTTCCAGTAATCGGAATGAATCCCCGGTCTTATTTTATGTATTTACACGTTGTCCATCGTCCGCTGAAATCAAGGTCATGGTCAGGAGAGGAAACAAAATATCGGCCCATAGATGACTAACAACACGAATTCTTAAAAATATTCAAGCTTAAGATAGTGGTCATATGTATGACTAAGTCTGGGTTTGTTGTCATTTATTTTTGTACGGAAACTGGGTCAATAATGACAGAAGTTGGCCAATACACACATCAAAATTGCCTTACCTGTGGTGTGTTGAAACTGCGAAGATGAGAAATATTCACTACATGCCTATGAATTAGGGGATTATGTCGCTCTTCAGATGCACCATCCTTGATCTGCAGAGATTTTTTGAAAATATGTCGAATTCTTTTCCGCACTTTTCATAACCGGAAGTTGTAGGTGTAAGATAAGTAAACAAAAGAGTCGTGAACTGATTCCGGATGTGCCTGCGAGTGGTCGCACCTTAGCCTTGATAAAACAACGTGTTGCTATGTTTTTCACGTTATTTCCATCTCAATTCCGTAAGAAGTGAGAAAAAAATGTTTGTTTAACTAGAGATTAGATAATGAATTTTTGTTTCGTCGGGTGTTAAAACAACAAAATGCATTATCTTATACGTTATATACTTCAGTAAATATGTATATAATGATATATAAAACAAAAAATTTCTCAACATTAAATATCATCTGGTGACGAGATGCTTCAAATTTGTTGTATCTAAGTTACAAAAATATGCAGTTCTACGGTATTTTAACTTCATTTAGATATACGTCCTTTTTCAATCACGAAACTACTTATATGATAACACTGTAATATGCACACATGTTTGTAGGAACGTTTTCACCTGTAGGATTTACTGGTTATTGTCAAACTATTGCAGTGGTAACTGGGAAAATAACAAACACAAATCAAACAAAGAGATAAATACACGCACATGTAAATAAATTAATGACAATTAATAAAAAAAATAATGTAAAAAAAAAAAAACAGCAAAACAGTTGTAATTCCTACTTACTCGGTCCTGGGATTGCACACAAGCCCTTCCGACAATTCAGTGCTATCGCTCCCGTCTTCGTCTTCATTGGGACCGTGGATAGGCTCCTCGTTTGAATCAACATTGTCGGAGGATTCTTGTGAGTCAACATCTGCATCCACGTTTTCTTTCGACGTAGTGACTTTAAAATTTTCATAACACATGTCGACATGTTCTTTCTTTTCTTTTTTGGGATCTATGACTTTTTTAGCACCATATTCCCTACAGGCTGTGTTTACGACCTTGGAGACATTCGCAATCATGATATCTATCTCTCAATCTAGCAAACTGTGACTTTCGTAACGGCAAGACGGAGTCACAACATTAAGAATAAATTAACCTGTGGGATAGAGGAACGGCTGTTTAAATTACATACGTTGTGGTTTTCATTCATAAACCCTTTCTGTTTAAAAGGCCAAATCAAATTAATCCCAAATCCATTCATTCGTAAAATAGAATACACTAAATACTAGTAATCACATTTTCATTCATAAATTAAGCAGAATGGAACATTGTTAGTTTGTTTTAGATAAAAGTACCCAGTTTATCAAAAATATAAATAGATTAACTTTTCAATGAATTGATAAAAAAATTAGATGTGTTATTATGTTTGAACGTTTTGTTTTTGAGATAGTTTTGTAGAGGATAAAGTATAGACTGGAACAGCCTCAATATTCACAAAAATGTAATGTAAGTTGACTGTGCTTTGCACGTTAAAATCACGTTTCACCACAAAACCCTTTGACCATATACAAGAACGTATTTCTGCTCTTTAAGGATATATACTACATAGATATAACTGGACAGGTGTAAAACATAAGTTTGTGCTTCAATGTTTTTATCATTTGCATTTATAATATCTTTATCAGGTTGTACACAATGGATTTTGTTTCTGTTTCATTTTTTCCCTGTTTAATCAGTTTTCTAATTACTGTTGTAGAGTGACTTATGATCGCACATTATTTCAGAGTATTGTAGACACGGGAGAGCTAGCATGGACTTTGTGAATATAAACAATTGTGTTGCGACTTTCAATTCCTTTGCAATAGCAATAGTCATATGAAAATGAGTATTTAGGGCAACTTTGCCGGAGAAAAGACAGGAAAATCGTTCACAATTAAAGGAACACAATTCTTAAATAAATGTTGCAATTTGGATAGAGGTCAATATTGACTTCATGATTGTTTTGTATAGGAGGGGTACACATTAGTCGCCTCCCAGTATTAGAAAACGGTCTCAGTGCGTCATAATCTCTGATACTCTCTATACAGAATGCGTTGTAGAGATCACTCCCGAGTCTGCAAGAGTCCATACCAGTTGCTTCTTACGACATGCAGTATGTAGCATATCTACTACCATCCCCCTCCCCTTTCCCCCCTCCCCCTCCCCCACCCCACATCCAACGATACATTAACAACACTTGTTAGGGAAATTATGCCACGATGACGACATATCATTTCTTAACTGTATATTTCAGATAGAAAATAAAATATGTATGTTAAAGTAAATAATTTGTTATTGAAACAAATTAGTCAAACAATTCAGAATACTGAAATGAACCTCTCTACCCGTGAGTGAAACGGTAACAATAAAGTCGGTTAGTTACTACAGAGAAAGAAACTTGATAACACTTACAGAAAATTATCGTGAATGAGCCAATATTGTCATACAGTGTGTAACTTCAGAATTTAATGCCCATAATAGGAAACGATTGAAAAATGAAATGTTGTTTACACACATAAAGATTGCTGTTAATCGTAAACCCATTAATATGTAGGTGTAAATCTCCTAATCCATATTTCCGGCTTAGCCATTGGCTATTCGGTAGGTAAAATACATGGTTGTCTCGTTTTATTTATTCAATTATTTATTTTTATTTATTTATCAAATAAATTGTAGCGTCATCACGGTGCAGGCTACGCGGACAGGGATTGTTTTGGAGTGTTGACGAAGCAGTTTTCTCTTTAATGTCGTAGATATATATAAACACATTTTAATATAAATTTAAAATAATGTTCTCAGTTGCATTGTAAAATTATTTCACATTAACTTTTACATTTTGTGAGAAATAACAAAATTATTCTCAGCAAAACATGTGTTTTGGCTTTGATGGAGGTAGAGATCACACAACAGAAATCTGATGCCAAGAACCCGCTACATCATCCTTAGCATGTTAATTATCATATAAAAGCCACGTAATGATATAAATAAATGCTATTTTAAGATCATTCTATAGAATTACACTTCCCCCGGATACTCCGGTTTCCTCCCACACATTAAACACACCAATCCGGGACAATAACAGGGATTACATCAAGTCGGAAAAGTTTCGATATTCATGTTAACTAGATAAACTTTGTATTATATAGATATATTACAGCCTGTCATTGGCAGGTATTGTCCTATTACTCAGATTTTATGTCCGATAGACGGCCATAGTACCGATGACCCTGATTTCATGGGATTGTCAAAAATGTCATTTGTATTTACATGTATAATGATTGATAAAATATGTTAAAGTCTGACCTGTGCCAAATCTTTCTTGTGTGAAACAGCTATGCTAATAGCCTTATATATATATATGTTTTATTACAAATGTTAAAAGTTAAATATAAAATCTTTTATAATTACTAAACATTGAAAATCGCAATCTCGAATCCCCCAATAACTCGATTTCCTGGTCACGACGACTTCGAGTTAGCGAAGTTTTACTTTGTATTGTACTGTTTGATATTGAGTACTTGTGTGTTAATGTTTGATAACGTGCTAGTAATCTCGATATCTATCAATAATATGATATTCTATTAAATGTGAAGAATAGATATGAAGAAAATGACAAATAAAATTTAAAGAACTGAAACTTAGTCCAGGTGTGAACGGAGTTCAGCATATATTACACATAGTTAGGAAAAGTTTGATAAACGACTCGATACTTCTAAATATAGATCAGGTGTTCCGTAGTGTTCAGGAAGCTGATTGCACTAGCTGATAAACACGAAATTACAGTTGGTTGTGAAATAGCCGTATCACATTATAGACAATGACTGTGACTAAAGATAGATAACAAATCTGTATATATACAATGTACTAGGTAAATGTCGGTAGCTTGTAACTGTTTAACGCTGACAGACGTAAACAAACATGGCGACCCCTATATCTGCCGGGAACAATACTACTAGCCAAGATTTCGACAGGTATGGTAATGAAACGACAAATAGGAATTTCTGAACTATTTAACAGGGTTTTTTCCCCACCTTTTCGGTATTTGTACATTTTTATATCTTTGTTAGCTCTTCTGGTCCAAATGACCATTGAGGTTATGTCATGGCGCGGCGTCCGTCGCCCGTCGTCCGCCGTCCTGCCGTCAACTTTTTAATAAAAATCGCTACTAATCATGAACGACTGAACGGAATTTGACCAAATGTGGCCAGAGTCATCCTTGGGGAAAGAGGAACCAAGTTAGTATAACTTTTGGTTCTTGGCCCAGGAGGCCTGATAGGCACTTCCCAAAGGGTGAAATTTAGCAAGTTCTTTAAATTTCTAAAGAAATTGCGGAATTTTGCCCAAATTTGGTCTAGAGGACTCTTAGGTGAAGGGAAACCAAATTTGTATTAACATTGATTCTCAGCCCCAGAAAGACATTCTCACAAGGATGACCACATTCACAAGATGCATTCTCAACAAGATTTACTCTGAAGAGATTAATTAAACTGCAATGGTGTCTATCTCTTGGCAATAATTATGTTTAAACTAAACTAAACTTCCGTTTGACCACAGGGCCGGCATCAAATAGGGAAAATATTTCAGAAATCACGAATAGAGAAAATTAACGGGACAAAATTCTTATTTTCTTTGAAATTTGGATGAAAGAGAACCAATGTAAATATAAAAAGTGCGTATCGACCTTCTGGGGCGGGGCTGAACAGTGGAAAAAGAGGACATTCTCTAGAATTTCAGAAGTTATGGGGGAAATCCTTTTGCCGTAAAATGATATTGTCCAAGTTTGAGCTGAAGCAATTTTGATGAATGATGAATCTGACTTCTGTTTGATCACAAATAGAGAAATATTTCAGAAATAATTTGTCATATTGGAAACTCATTGTTCAATGACTAAATAGCTACATTAGCCAGGTGAGCGATACAGGCCCATTGGACATTTTATTGTAGCATAGCCCAAAAGTTTTCGTACATTTTATTATCTTACATCAAACTGCACATAATAAATTATTGTTTTGTCCTTATGTCTGTGAATGGTTGACTGCCAACTGTATCAAATGATTGCTGCTTTACGACCATAACGAAGGTCGTGTTCACACTTGTTTCCAGGATGTAATATTTTATGTTTTCCTTCCCGTTGTTAAGTACACGATATTTTCCACTTGGTTGGATTTTCCTTCCCGTTGTTAAGTACACGATGTTTTCCACTTGGTTGAATTTTCCTTCTCGTTGTTAAGTACACGATGTCAAGTACACGATATTTTCCACTTGGTTGGATTTTCCTTCCCGTTGTTAAGTACACGATATTTTCCACTTGGTTGGATTTTCATTCCCGTTGTTAAGTACACGATATTTTCCACTTGGTTGGATTTTCCTTCCCGTTGTTAAGTACACGATATTTTCCACTCTGTTGAATTTTCCTTCCCGTTGTTAAGTACACGATATTTTCCACTCTGTTGAATTTTCCTTCCCGTTGTTAAGTACACGATATTTTCCACTCTTTTGAATTTTCCTTTTCGTTGTTAAGTCCATTTGGTTCTTTCTGTGACATACTTTTGAATTTTTGTTTTACACCTGATGTCTTTAAACAGTTCGAATGTGGAAACGTCTACTTTTCAAAATGAGTGATTTAGAAGAAAAGCGTAACTTTTACTTGAATTATTATCATTTGATAGGCGTTACAATAGCTTTGATATTTCAACAGGAAGTGACGTAACAAATATAATCTCAATTTGTAATTTTAGAGACACTGTCGTGAAAGCACTCAAGGAAAATGGATATGCAGTTGTGAAGAATGTTCTTACCCACGAGCAGTGTGAAGAATATATCCAACAGTACAAATCCTGGATGAAAAAGTTCGATCGCGCTGGAACGGAATGTTCTCATAAACATTCAATCATACAGTCATATAGAACAGGCCACTTTGCTACGACATGGGCGGTTCGACTTCATGTGAAACCGGTCTTTGCTAAAATATGGAAAACTGAGAAACTGCTGTCAAGTGCAGATGCAGTAGCTATCTCGAAACCCCCAGAAGAAGGTATATAACGTTATGTTATCTGTCAAAATAGCTTCCATACTTCTTTTTGACACTCGGTTACCTTATTGAATACCTTAAAGCCCCAATATACGTAACATTCACCAAATTTAGTGTAGAATCACACATAATTATTGAGATATTCTCTAAGATGTAGTTAAAATTAAGTTATTCAAAACAATAGTTACCATGACTTTGTGCATAAAGTATTGATATATGAGCAGTTGAAACTCGCTATTTGTAAACACACCCCGATTTAAAACACGCCGCCATCGAAATTACGATTGTTGCCGAACCACGTCGGAAAGTTCATGACCTGATATCGCGAGAGTTGAGGTTTATACTTATAAAAGAAGCACATGTAGATATGTCTACGGTAAGTTTTTGTTTACAAACATTGTTTGCGAGGTCTTGTCGTAGACTTGAGGTATTCCTGTGATAAACATTCAGTTTTTGGGAAATTATTAGAAGGAATAATTAGTTTAGAAACGATACGACACACAATTATAACGTAAGAATTCAGAACTGGCCTGATGTATGATTGGAAAAAAAGGAAGCGATTGGTGAACGTCTGTACTGTGTATGCCATGTTTACACACGCGGAATAAGCGCATGCGCAATGTCATCGCTACGAGCGGTAATGTATGAATTATTGTGGGTCCCACATTGTTTATTTTCCGATTTGTTCAATTTTTATTTAAATTGAAAACAGTCGTTTTTATTTTCTTTAATTAAAGGAAAGTATTTGTTTTGTTACATACATTACGGGGAAAATAAGGTAAAGTTTGTTTTTTATAGTGATTTTTACGTATATTGGGGCTTTAATTATACCAGAGACCACAGAGATTTGGGACGAATTCTCGACCGACAGCCAATATACGTGTATTATAGTGACTATAAAGCTGTTATTCACGTGTTTGTTTGTCGTACAATCTTCGAGATTGCAGGTGGAAAACACGGCCGGTAACCTTTTAGTCCCCAAGGTTTGCTGTGACCAGGCTCCAGCGGTTTTAAGCTTGGTTAGAGTTAAGCAGTGGTCGTCACTGAAAAAGCACGGGCCTTTCATAGCAAAGTTCATACTCAAACAATATCACTGACCTATGTAACAAATCTACATCTGTGACTTGATAAAAAATCTCAGTTTTGTTTAATTCATATTTGAACATTTTCACTAATCACATTTATCAATTTAAGCAACTAGTACCTGCACACCACGTTTATACATGCGTATAGTGGCACAGTTCAGAAATACACATGTATTGGACGTTCTTTAGAAATTATAAGATATATGGTAATTACAAGTTTTATTGAATTATGGGGCTAGTGTACTTTCCCATCTCGAGTTTGACATTTCTTTCGATCAATATTGATTACCTACAGTGGTCCCGTAAGCACTGCCGAGTCCTAGAAGAACGAAACAGCTGTATAATGCAATTTAACTCATTATTTGGTTCTACTTTATCTAATTCTAAAAAGATGTTCTGTATTTATGAGTTTTTTGCACTCGTTAATCAGTAATGTTATGGAGATAAAAAAAAAAAAACCTTTGTATATTCCATTGTTTTGTACGTGTTACGTGGCGGGCCATGCTTCATTGTAAGAAATTATTCTTTCACATTTTAATTGATTTGTATACTGTTTCAGGAAGTGATGATTATGCCGATCCGAACCGTGAATGGTTACACTTAGACCAGGCTGCCCATAGAGAAGGTCTTCACGCCTTCCAGGGAGGTATTAACTTAGAGGAAAGCACCGACACAGATCATTGCTTCCGGGTCATGGCGGGGTCACACGTATACCATAAGAAATTCTTTCAAACATTTCCAAATGCAGCTGAGAAGTCAAGACGGATAGAACATTATAAACTTAATGACGTTGAGAAAAACTGGTATGAACAAAGAGGATGTAAACGTACCAAAGTTCCGGTTCCAAAAGGTGGAATGGTATTGTGGGATTCGCGAACTGTTCACGACAATATCAAGCCAGAATACGGCAGAATAAACAAAGACAGGTGGCGTTTTGTAGTCTTTGTTTCTATGACCCCTGCAATTTGGGCATTTCCGGAAGACTTAGCAAAGAAGAGGGATGCTTACGAAAATTTAATGATGACATCTCATTGGTCATCGCAAGGTGTAAGAACCTTTAAGGAGTATAACCCAAAAAAGGATGATCCTAAATTTACTATCTTGACCCAACCTGATATCGCGAAAACTAGAGAAGCCAAACTTCTATTCGGAGTAGAAGATTACGATTTTGAGGACGAAAAGCCAAATGGTCCAAAGCCACCTACTTGGCAAGACTATCACGCATAAGAATTTGACTATTTATTACATTTACATTCCAGATATGTTATTGCACAGATACGACTAATAACTCGAATTTGTATAAGTTATAAGGGGTATCTATTGTGAGTTTTGTTCACTTTAAATCCTGAGTAATTCAGTCGTGTTCGTGTAAAGAACATCTTTATGAGCAATCACGTGAGCAATGCTAAATTTACAATAGTGACATAATAGTGATTTTTAGCACACCAATATTTGGATAGACTGATATGATATCGATATAAAAAGTTGGTATCAAATTTTTAATCTTAGGGCACAACTACCGTGAAGATTTGGGTCATATTCACGCCATAGCATCATATCTCTAAGGTTTTCACCTGGTAAGATCTTGGTTGCTATCAAAGGGCGCCATTGACCACTTTACAAATAAAACGTTTGTGTAAAATATTGAGGATGTGGATATATCTGTCGGATCCCCAGTTCACTTTGTCTTTGGTATATACATTTATAGAATGTTTCGATTACACTTATTTTATGGACATTGAAATAAAAATTCTGATCAAAGTTTCAAAGTGTTTATTAGATATATTGTAAGCACAACTTTGTTGACATAGATAAAAATCAAAGTACTGAAAGATGTTTACAAATAATCGCTAAGCTATATCACTTTCCCCATACTCTTACACTTTGGAATGCAAAAGTTACTAAAGTAAGAGAACCAGAGGCTATTTTTCTTAATTTTCAGCGATTTTATATATTCTTTAATTCTTATTTCAAAATTGACGACAATAATGTGAACAAATCAAAATAGTAAAAAAAAAAACAAAAAAAAAAAACACACACACAACCATACATTTATCGCCAACAAGCCAAATGATAAATAGCTCTATGATGAAGTTGACTAAATAAAACCTTTGCAATACCCAAGATGTTGCAATTACTATCCTATCAATATGAGGATTTAGACAAATCGAAAGGACTTTATACCTACTTCTTTATTTTAAATGTATTGCAAAGTAGTACTTCTTACTTATTATAATTATATCTGTAGTTGAGGAAAGTAGATAAGGTGTACACAGCATTCCAGATAGATTAAAGTGCAAGTAATTACATTAAATGTATTTACATGCCTATCTCCCTTGAAGTGTCATGGTTAGACTTTTCTTCCAGTAATTATATTTATAAAGACATAGTTCTATGAGATTAAACTAGACTTCCATATATATACAAAATTTACAATATTTTCGCTATAGCTACTACTATTTCTGATCTCCAATGCATTAGATAATGTTACCATGACACGCAAAATGAATGAATATGTTAAGGAACTATTTCGTTCTAGTTAATTGAAAATTATAAACATGAATATTTTGGGGTTTGTTTTATACGCGCTTTTTTTGAAGGAATATTTTGATTTCAAGGAACTTTGAAACACATTAACAAACCTTGAGAAATCAGCACAATCAACCTTCATCAAATAAAACTAAAAGACAACAAAGTCAACATCATGATCAGTAGAGTATTTAAAAAATATTATTCATAAATCAAATGTACCGTGCCTACGAAGCGCAAACTTTTTAGCTTCAAAAACTTGAAAAACTTGAAAAAGTGTCATATCGGCGGGTGTGCGCGTGAGATGAACAGTCCAATTTTGTGACGTCTAATGAGGTAAAGTGATGTTATATATTAAGACGATCTCGCCACAACGACAAGGATTAAAGCAAAATTGATGTTCTGTTTGTAAGTTTTGTTTGTTTATAAGTACTGTTAGTTGATAATTCAAACCAACCCCCCAGACTAGATTTTTATCATGGCGCCAACTCGCACGTACAGTGTTCTGTACGCTTACGTCATGTCGAGAAGGATTCATAAGCCCTGCCATACAATAAATACACTGTAAATCAAGTCATGCAGTTACAATAAACTTTGAAGATACAAGAAACCATTTTTTTTTTCTTACTTAAGGTAAATATGGTTGTTTTCTAGGGATATTCACAGCAGGCGATAAGAATCACGTCAGCTCGATCGGCTTCTTCAGCAGCAGAGGTCGGGGATGTCCGTGAGCAAATTCCGTAAGATATGTTGTTTAAAATTTATCAATAGTTCAACCACACTGTGCATCTTTATTTTAAATATATAGTAATCGTATTGTTATTTTAAAAAATAAACTAATTGTGGATACTTTTAAAATTGCGATTTGAAAGATCGCGGCATTATTTACGCAGAAAATTGCCGCTAGAGGGCTTTAACTCTTTTCGATATTTCAGCCAATGAGAAGGCCAGGATCGGTAAATTTTGTCTGAAAGGCCGTAGCAATAGGCTATTCGTACTGAATACCTTTAGCCTAAAAACGACATCGGCAAGACAAAATCGATGTACATATCAATAATTTCACATCATCAAAACGAAGATTGAATAAAGATAATTATAGATTTAAGGTCTTTGGGAACTGACCGAAGCCAACGTCTTACTTCCAAGCATGATGAGTGTCTGTCACAATGGAAATATATGTTATATCCAACTTCAGTAATAATTTCAGAATGAAACCCGGGATAAGGGGCAAGGAAACCACGAAGATTACTTACAAACATAAAAAAAACTTCAAGAACATCTGTTACAGAAATGGTAATATTGTGAACAATTAATTGAATATCGAGTTTATATGAGTATGCTGAGTGAAGCAGTCTAGATTTGTAACTATGATATTGATATTGAAATCAATCCGCTTATACGATATGAATTTCAGCTGTTTACTAAGTGTGGCGGACTTATTTTTGTTTTCATACGATGTTTACTTTATCGAAGAGATTATCAAACAATGTCACAAAGACATTGCAAAGTCGGTTAATATCACGTTCAGATATATTGATTACATATTGTCTCTAAATAACAAGAAATTTATTGACCACGTCCATCGTATATACCCAACAGAACAGGAAATCAAAGACACGACACACTCTTCTACATCAACCACTTTTTTTTCCTACAGCGAAACCAACATGGACAATTTTGCATCAAGTTGTCTGCTAATTTTCAAATTTCCCTAATGTGAATTTTCCATTGCGGAATAGCAACAAACCTTCATCCCCAACCTATGGTGTTTACATGTTGATTAAAATAATGCTCTACCATTACTCTAATTTGAGAACGTAACATTACTTATTTGGATTAACCAGGATTAACATGGCCTTATTCTCCTTGTATTTTTTAAGGAGTCTCCGTGTAAATCTTCCTTTAGTCCGTATCTTGCCCTTGTTGAATCCTAGTTTGGATTATGATTATTTTGACATTTTGGTATTATATTGTTTTTTTATCCTCGTTAGTATGCCTGGTGGTTTTGTTGTTGTTCATTTTGTTCTGATTTTAGAACACGATGCTACTCAATTCGATTGATCACGATTTGCTTGACGGATGTCGTAGAGGACACTTATCCTTCCGGAACTCCTGGTCTTACATTCGTTGTATTTTCATTTGAGTCTCCGCGGAAACGTTTATTTTGATTATATTTTACCCTAGTTTCATCAATTTTCTGATTTTATTAGATCCTGTTGGTATTTTCTCATTTGTTTTTGTCGACGAATATCGGGACTAGCAGCGTTTGCAGCTAATATTCTTGGTTTCCTGTTAAGGGGCGAAGCTACTCTATACATTTCCTAGTACTTATTGACAATATCTGGTTCACATGAAAGATAATTCTTGAATCAATTATATATAATAAGGTAAAACAAGAAATCAACGAAGAGCGGAATAATGCTTTATACTTTCAATATTCCTATGATCGTTCAGAAAATATTCTCTCACCAAATGCAGAGAAAAATCCTCTTATTCAGACTAGATTCCTCAGATTGCGAGGTTATTCTAAATGTAAATTTGTATACTATTGTATATGTTGATAATTTCATATGTGTTGCTACTTAATACCAAGTAGTATTTTTGGCACAAAATTAGCAATAAGAGAACAAGGAGGGGGAGGGGGCGGGGACGAATATTAGGGACACGTTTATATCAGAAGGCTTATTCATCTTGGTAATTTCATGAACATCGTTCATTTAACAAATTATGTGACATGTCGGTTTCATTTAAGATGTGGAGATTTCTTTAAGAATGAAACTGGTATTCTATACTTAAAATTCTAAGGTAAGTTTTCATTCCATACGTGATTTCATGAACAAGTCTTATGAGTTTTTATTTTTCCAAGTCTCGCCTAGCAAAGATTAAAACTTCGAGACGACTCCCATATGAAATGAAAACTAAAATAAGAAGCTTTTAATCACATCACTCAGAAAAGTTACATTTTGGTATATATCAAAATAAAAATGCGGAGGACAAAATCAAACACAGGCATCCATTTTATTGCGAAATTTACAATTCATGACGTAACGTATTTGTCCATATTGTGACATCGCAATCGATTTCTGCTTAACACAGCCAATTAGAAATGTTCCTGTGTATTTTGCACTAATTTTGATTTAAACATATTTTATTGCACATAAGTAACAATAGGATTGGGCACATTATATTTACAAGGTATGATATAATAACAAATAATTATAAACAAGTTTATAGAGAAAGGCGTGGGTGGGGGGGTATAACACGAACTCTGTATGTTTAGAATATTTTGTATAGATGTAAACCATGCATCTGGTCCTTCTCCATGACAGCGAAACAGGTGATACACTGTCCACATGCCTAAACTCACAACTTCCTGTGCTTTGTATACTTCCTCCTTCACACTCGTTGCTTTCCGGAATCTCCGTTTTCCACTTTTTCGCGTACACAGAGAAGTAGCAGGTACATGGTACACACATACTTTTCCATTATAATAATTATATTAATTTTAGACGTTATATCGCATTTCTTTCATAAAGATATCAGCGATACCATTCACAAATAGTAATAGTATATAATAGCGGGCTACAGAAGAGTAAGGAAGAGCGGAACAGAGAAATCCAAAGCTATGATTGCTAGAATCTGTTTGTTTTGTGAAAATATTGCTAAGTATGCAAAAACATACTTTGGTTTCATGTTCAGAAAGAGATGTCACCGAACAGGAGTAAATTTAAGTTTAAGGGTATGTATTCATTAAGTTGACGAAACAACTTTATTCGTTGATCAACATAATCATCACACAATGTTCAAGAGCACTAGCATTATCTCTTACCTTGGTTTGCAAAATGTTACTTTTCCATCACCAAATAGAAAATAATTTGTAACCTGTGACCGATTTTGGCTAGAACATAGTTTTTAAATGATGGAAGTGTTTAGCTATGCCTAGCACCGATAGGTAATTGATTCCATAGTTTAATAGTAGAAGCATTACACAATTGGAGCCTTTTGTTAGGTAGGATAAAATATTCAGCGTTTCTGAGGTTTATCTACAAGTGGAGGGTGTAGACGCCGCTTTTGTATTGTCAAGCTAACAATGTGCATTATTTGTTATTTTTAAGAATGGCTGTTTTAATGTACAAATAGCAAAGTGTTTACTATCACAGGAAAAAAGTATATTTTCTTCAAATGAGAATGGTTGTAAATGTTATAAAAATAATCTTTTAATAAACAATAAGAAATACATACACTTTTACTTTTCGTACTTTTCGTCCATGAACCGGGAGAGCGAATTTGTTACACTGTGATCTTTAAAATACCCCTCAATTGGCAAATTGTACTTGAGTCGAGTATGTAAATAATGGAACAAGGATGAATACAACCTGGGGCGAACACATCCGGGTACTTGGTATCTGTCACATTTTTGACATTTTCGTTGGTATGAGTTTAATTTAATATATACAACAATACCATAACACGTGCTCGTTTAAACCCACCTCGGTTCCTTCGGACCATTTGGTTTACCATCCTTAAAGTCATATTTCTCTCTTCCAAACAAAAGTTTGGCTGCAGTTGTCTTTGCAATGTCAGGCTGTTCGTGGACAGTAAGTTCGTGTTCTCCAGGTTTCGGATTGTACTCTTTAAAATTCTTTACACCTTGGGATGACCAATGCGATGTCGTCAAGAGGTTATCGTAAGCTTTGTTCTTTTCTGCGATGTCTTCCGGTTTTGCCCAGATCGCAGGTGTCATTGAAACAAATACGACGAAGCGCCACCTATCTTTGTTTGGTTGATCAAACACCGGTTTTACATTGTCATGTACCGTTCGCGAATCCCACAATACAATTCCGCCTTTCGGAACTGGGACTTTGACTCGCTGACAGCCTTTCCTACGATACCAATCTTTCTGGGCTTTATTAAGTCTGTAAAACTCGGATTCCTTCGTTTTTACTTCAGCCTTTGGAAATGCTCTATAAAATTCTGAATGATATAAATGCGACTTTGCCATAACCCGGAAGCAATGATCCGTTTCTGTACTTTCCTCTAGATTAACCCCTCCCTGGAAAGCGTGAAGACCTAACCTGCATCCAGCCTGATCTAGGTGAAACCAATCGGTATCAGGGGCTGCAAACAACTTGCTTCCTAAAATATACAAGATTTCAAACATTAGACAATTTTCCATAATCGTATTGCGTGACACTGTTAATTTACCTGCATGCAGTAATCGTTCTGTTTAAAACTTTCACTTTCACAAATGTTAGACTCTAACAAGAAGGGCGATAACTCGCACATGCTTGTTGAATAAGAGAAGTTTATATGTATTGAGAGATTGTACTTCAAACCAGCAAAATAAATAAATAAATAAATAAATAAGCAACAATGTAAAAGTTCGCTGCTTGAAATACGTTATCCTCAGCTTCAATGTATGATAAATTTTAATTTTGCGTTCAGTAATATTGGCAACATTATCAAAGGGAGGCAAATGTAACATTTTATTGATAAACCACAATGATCTATTTCATTTTATTTTAACGTACCTGCTTCTGGTGGCTTGGAGATGGCTATTGCATCTGCACTAGAAAGTAATTTTTCAGTTTTCCAAAGCTGTTCAAAGACAGGTTTTGTTTTCAGGCGTACCTCCCATGTTGTAGAAAAGTGACCTGTCCTGTATGACTGGATGACAGAATTTCTATGAAAACATTCTCGCCCAGTATCCTCGAATTTCTGTAGCCAGGTTTTGTATTGCGCAATGTACTTGTCGCACTCCTCATGAGTAAGGACATTTGGAACCACAGTGTATCCATTTTCTTTCAGATCTTTTAGTGTTGACTCGCTAAAAATATGATATAAAGTATATATAAAATAGTGTAAAAAACATTAATTTTCGTTGAAGATTCACTTTCATTGATATTTGTGGAACTTTTCATTCTCGAATTCATATGTTCCCAAATTGTTAAAATAAGTGAATTTATTGAGCTAAATTTAACCACGAAATTTAGCGTCCACGAAAAAGTTTGGGTTTTTTCTTTTTTGTTTTTATTTTCTTTTTTTTCCCATTTTTTAACATTTTTTTTTAACTACGAAAATTGGTCCACACGGAAATATATGATATTAAGGTGGTACATGGCCAATGTCCTATATACATCTTATATATCAACACACTGGACATGTATGTATTTATTTTCAGTTCACAATAAAGAAACTTCGACACGTTGTGGCATTCGTGACCTCTGTTGACCCCTAGCGATGATAATAATGTATGTTCTTATTCTACCAATGAAACGAGAGTTACCATTGACTATAGATTTACCAGTTCTTGTCGAGTTCTTTGAATATTTATTTGGACTAAACATATTTCATGTGATGGGTCGACAGACATAACAATGATTTATCAAATATATTTCGAAACAATGATATGCGTACCCCAAGTGTTACAATTGAACTTTCAGGTAGATCTGCACCTTTCGTGACGTGTGTGAGTATTTGATAAACAAAAATAATCTCTATGACATATAGTTTTTGAAGTGCAAATATATCACATCAACACGTTAGGGTAGGTTAAAATACATTTATAAATTGTTCAGACCCTTTATGTTCCAAGTGATTAATGTCGCAATTTCACATGAGTATTACATAAATGGACACGAAGCCACCGCGCATACTTCATATCACTCAAGGAAGTAAAATGTTTCCCAACGACTTCCTGGCTGATGACACAAAACATTCCTGTTGTCTTCATCAGGTTTCATTTCTCGAAACAAGTTGCATTTTATGAACATATTACATAAAAACAATAAAATATAACACCAATATTAATTAGTATTTTCCGGCAAATTAGCAATTTATACTGTTTCAATAAAGTTCATAATTGAGATTCGTCACCATATTATTTATCTATCAAAACATGTACTTAAATTATTAACCCTTCTGCTCACTAATATTCTGTTTTGATTTAGTATATTGTGACAATCTAACGTTCAGTTACTTTCACAATAGCTGAAAAATAAATTCAAATTTGCTTACCCATCCAAACTAGATGTGCTGGTGACAGGTTCTGATGAGGTAGCCATATCGTACAACTTAAACTGAGAGTTTTAACTAGGTAGAATATACGTTGTATTTATATTCATATTTAGTGTTATCTATTAATAGATATGACAACGGCAAGTGTGGTATTTCGCCATCAAGCACAATATAACGTCATGTGTTTCAAAGTGCTGTTAGTATGTATTAAACTCAAGCTCATTAACGGCACAAAACTGGAACTGCTCAATACAGAAATCAATGGTGCAAAATCCTCGTAAAGAATATTCTCAAATAACATATTTAACACGTGTACACTCTCGGAGGTTACATAACTATACAAGGTGTTCGATTTAATCTGGCTTATTATGTATCTAAAGGCCATTCACTGTGGTACTTTAAACTGAGCCATGGTGTTTTGTGAGGTATATAAATTAACTTGACATATAAATGAAATATTCATTTTTTGATGTGTTTGTGTATGTATGTGTTAAACCACATTTACATATCTACACGTTTGAATTATAATTCAGATAATACGTGAAATGTATTGGAATTGTGTGTGGTATACTATACTGAAGTTAATAAGTTTCATTCACAAACAATCGACAAAAAACTATTTTAAATATCAAATCAAAAGTGACATTGGGTTTTTGTTAAAAACAGTTTATTTACAGCAATATGCATGAAAGAATTTTACAAGGGGACATATCTATTGAATTTGCTTACCTGGCTATGATTAAATAGGTCAATGTGTATATTTACGATTTCTAAATATAGATCAATACCCCGGATAATGTTTGCATGATTTTAATCCGTTACAGTACGTCACCAAAATATTACGCGATAATTTCAAGGATAATACTAAGTGTGTAAAGGGAAACATATTTCTTTTACTCATGAATTACATTTTACAATACTGTCAGTTATAATCTGACAGTAGTACGCATTTTGTCTTTTGATTCCAAAAATAGCACATGTGACACTTACTTTTTATATCGCGACATTGCAATGTGTTGTGAAACGTGGTGACGTCACAGGTAACCACAGGTGATAAACAAACAGGAAGTGCTGACTACCCAATATTTGTACAATAGGTCGTGTAATTTGACAGACTCATGTCTTAATATAGTCAAATATTTATCAATATAACACTGGATAGGAATCCGGTTTACCACAAGTGTTTCAGGCACGCTACTTACAAGACGATATGGCTGCTGCTTGCGACACACCTACCCTGACGGGTGACAGCCTTGAAGGGTAACTTTCGCAGTAGTGTTGTTACGGCAGTTATTTTGTAAAGATTGATATTAGAGTGAAAGTATAGTTTCTGCATATTGTTACAACGTTTTCAGCATTTTTAAATATTTAGTTGTTTAACTTGCTTGAATTAACCTCTTGTGGAATAAAAACGGATATTGTGTAAATTACTGAATAAAATAGAAACTATCCGAATGCGTGGTTTTGTATACGTTTAAACTAACACAGATCAATATCACAATCGAGGAATATATCATACTGTGTCGTAAAGTAAATGTACAGGTGTTCCGAAGTTCTCCGATATAAGTATAATGTGTATATAATAATGTCAAATGATTTGTTTTCGGACAAAGTATCCGCATTGATGTATGAAATAGAAATAAAACCAAGTACAAAATTTCAAAATAAAAAAAAAACCAACAAACAGGACAAATTACAACAAAACCTATTTTAAATCCATAACTATGTCCACAGACGAAGATCATCTATGGTGGACAATTATCAATGTCCAAAGTAAACAAACATCAGCTGGATCAGTCATACCTCAATAATAAAACATTTTATTATGGTGAAATAAAATATCAGCAAGTTGATTTAATCATAAACTATGTTGTGGCCATGTTTCAGTAATATAATTTTTGAATAATTTAAAATTATCTGCATGACAACATGTGAGTGTTTTAGATATTCACGAGGTGAAATTCCTGGATTGTATAAAGACTACTCAAATCGTTGTTGCTTTCAGGGATGAAATACTGAAACAGCTGAACGAGAAAGGATACGCTGTCGTCCCGAATGTCCTCACACACGATGAGTGTGACAGATATATGGCAGAGTTCAAAAGCTGGCATAAAAAATTTGACGATTTAGGAGTGGAATGTTCGAGTAGAAATTCTGTCATTCAATCCTACAGAACAGGCCACTTCTCAACTTCCTGGGAGGTCCGTCTCAAGTCCAAACCAATCTTTGCAAAAGTTTGGAAAACTGATAAATTGTTGTCAAGCGCAGATGCGATAGCTATATCGAAACCACCAGAACAAGGTGAGATCTTCATAAATACGTTGATGAATCAGCATTCATACCTTTTTAAAATGAAGTTTTTGTATTGGTGTGTTTAACTTTGCATTCATTTCTAATAATACTCTCCAATCAGTAATAAATTGATTGCAGAAATGTAGCTTTAATTTTACAAATATCTCATCGACTTTTGTATTTTTCCATTCACTATTTAATAGCAATAATTATGTCACAAATATCACACCAATATCTTCTACATTCTATGTAACAGGAAGTGAGGAATACGCAGATCCGGATAAAGAATGGTTACACTTAGACCAAGCTGTATATAGGCAGGGTCTCCACGCCTATCAGGCTGGAGTGTATCTAGAGGAAACAACAGACACTGATCATTGCTTACGAGTCATGGCGCATTCCCATCTGTACCACGCAGACTTCTTCAATACATTTCCACCAGCTGCGACAAGGTCACGGCGATGCGAGTTCCTAAAACTGAGCAAGGCGCAGAAGGCATGGTATGATGCCAGAGGATGTAAACGAACAAAGGTACCAGTTCCTAAAGGAGGAATGGTATTGTGGGATTCGCGAACAGTTCACGACAATATGAAGCCAGTTTATGGCAGACCAAATAAAGATAGATGGCGCTTTGTTGTATTCGTTTCCATGACACCCGCGATATGGGCATCCCCTGAGGCTATTGAGAAGAAGAATATTGCATATGATAAAATGTTGACCACCGCCCATTGGGCTTCAATGGGTGTTCGGAATTTCAAACCGTTCACTCCAAAAGGGGTAGAAAAAGATCTTACTATTCACGCACAACCCGACATCGCACAAACACGAGAAGCGAAATTATTGTTCGGGAAAGCAGAATATGATTTCGAGGATGGAAAACCGAACGGACCTAAGGCACCAGTTCTGGGTAACATGTCTCGGTAAATATGCAGTAAAATATCTTCAGTCATGTTTACGCTTGAATCTATTGACAAACGAGAGACAATTCTCTATGTTCCTTGTGTATTTCACGTAGCATATGCATGGAACAAAAGGTATGATCATTTATGGTTTTTATAGTTATAGTGAAGCAGAAGGCGCTTACTTTTACTGAACACCTGGTCTTATTCTCCACGTATTTTGTCAGGAATCTCCATGTTGTTCTCTTTTATGTTCATATATTGTCATAGTTTTATTGAATTTAAGATTAGATTGTGGGCATGCTGACGTATTGATATTTATTTTTGTTTTTTTGATGCGTCATGTATACTTATATTTAACCTTAAACATGCGTTTTATAATGAAAATACTGTGGTATGTAGAACAACATTTAATATAATTTGTTTATGTGTCTGATGTCAAATTTGATGTAAATAAAAACAAATATTTTTAAAAATTATATTGTGTTTTTGCGTTTTTAGTCTTTTGTCGGTTTGAACATATAATAAATAACTAGTACATTTGTTGTCAGGTCCTCATGTTCTTGACATTCCTTGATATTTGTTACATTAGCATTATTTGTGAAAAACAACCCATAGATGTAACATGTTTTTGTGACGGATTTTACAACCCCACTAGAGGGACCCATAGATGTAACATATTTTTTGGAGGATTTTACAACCCCACTAGAGGGACCCATAGATGTAACATATTTTGTGACGGATTTTACAACCCCACTAGAGGGACCCATAGATGTAACATATTTTTTGGAGGATTTTCAATCCCACATATTTGTTTTGTGAGATGTAACATATTTTTTGGAGGATTTTACAACCCCACTATGGGGACCCTTAGATGTGACATTTTTTTTGGAGGATTTTACAACCCCACTGAGGGACCCATAGATGTAACATATTTTTTGGAGGATTTTCAATACCACAAGAGGGGCCCATTGATGTGAGATGTTTTGTGGAGGATTTTACAACCCCACTAGAGGGACCCATAGATATGACATGTTTTTGTGACGGATTTTACAACCCCACTAGAGGGACCCATAGATGTAACATATTTTGTGACGGATTTTACAACCCCACTAGAGGGACCCATATATGTGAGATGTTTTGTGGAGGATTTTACCCATATTGTAATGATAGATAACATGTTTTTGTTTTTGATGTGACATGTTTTATTTGTTTTGTTTGTATTAATAATTTTTATATGTTTATGATTATTAAATGTCACCTTTGGTATCCATTTTCAGTATATACATGAATTGTGTTATTTATTTAAACATAATATGAACATAACAGGAACATAAAAGGCGTCTATTCGTTAACTTAATCCATGCTTGAAATAACTTAGATATATTAACTTATAATGACAGTGGATTTAATTTTCAAATTGTAAAAAAAAAAAAAAATCAAAATTGTGTACGTTTGTTATTCAGTGCATACTATTTACTGATGTGTGGAGGAAGGGGTAAGCTTCCGTATTTTGTTTCTATTATGAAACAAGAGTTTTATATCTAAGGTAGTTTGATCGAATTGCTAGGCATACGCAATGCTAAGCGTCTAAATTTGAAAGCTATGAGGCCATTGTTAAAAATTCAAAATGATCGAAAGAAATGTCAAAATCTAGATGGGGAGTGTCCTAGATCCATAATTAAGTAAATTTCGTAAATCCAATACATTACACAATTTAAGAACAGCGTTAGGTACATATGTGTGTATATTCTGAACTGGGCCACAATAAATTTAAATGTGACATGCAAGTTAAGTCAAACCTCCGGGACTAATAGGCTACCAGCAGCGTCTACCACCTGCGATCTTGAAGATTGCACAAAAGACACGCAAGTGGAATAGTGCCTTTTAAACAACGATAACGAGTTCGTCATAACGTTACAATTAAATTTTGGTAATTCTATTTTCTCAGAATCATTGGATAACGCATTGTTTGTCAAACACCTGTTCTTCAAGTTAGCCGCCTGGTTCGTACAAATACGAATTGTTTCACATAATCGTGTAAATTTTACTCTAATTGCAGATCATTTCAATAGCTGGTAAAGTATTATGTAGTTTTGTATGTTCTGTACACTGCCAATTGTCCAAAACTGTTGAGACCCTTTAACCCTCCAATCTGTCAAAATATGATTATTATGAGCGTGACCTTTATTTATGTCGGGTTTTTTTTGTAATTTCAATTCAAGAATTTACAAAAGACAAAAGAGTGAAAAGTACTTTTCGATGTATATTGAGAATAAGATCTAATTTATATATAATATGTATAGATGTATGTTAATAATCATTTGTATTATGTTATTGATTCTATATCTGTTACATGAGGATTTCAAATAACCTTACGGGTGCAAGTGGTTGTCACATTTTACAAAGGGGAAGGAACTGTAAATATTTAATGAAGGAGGAGGCTGTCTATACCCGGGGAATTATGTAATTATTGGAACTAATCCTGTCTATGTATCTTAATCATCTAATGCCACTATCAATGTATAAATTGTGTTATATACATATATGTATATATATATATATATATATATATAAGAAGGAACATTAAGTCAAGTATAAATACAACACAAAACATTTTAATCTTACACATTGAATGACAAGTTCGGTATCCATTGTGCCAAGTACAACCACTATCCAATTATTCAATTCAATTCTATTCAATTCATTATATTGATTGTAGGCCTTATGGCCTATAAGTACATGTATATAATACAATCGAAAGATAAATATGGGTCTTGAACAGCAAAACAAAAACACAAAGTGGAGAACGAGATAAAGCATTACAGATCTTGTCTTCATTGCTTCAACAATAAATTTACAAAAAAGACTTAACTCTTTGATATCATTAACACATAGTAATTGTATAAACTTAAGCATTGAGGTTTTTTCAGTAATATTTCTTTACAAAACGACTTCGTATCGTAAGTCAGTGTATACATTGCAAATTAACACAAAATGATACTAATCTTTGTACAGTATCTCCTATTCCGCTCTACATTTTTATAGCCGCCAGATTGAACTGCCAAACAATGTGCAGACATGCGCACTTTTGTTAGATAAATTCTTCATTTCACAGGTATTTTCTTGGTTAAATCAAACTGAATAGAAAAAATGTTCAACAATACCATTATATAGGAAACATTTCGAATTTTCTAACAAACCTCTCAAGTGTTGCTGAGCTTGATCAAAGATCCTTTGACGCACGCGCAGGATAAAATTAAATAACATTTTAAAAGTGATTGGTTAAGCTAAATATCACCCAAACCCAAAGTATATAGAACATCTTTAGATAGAGTACGCTGAAGAAACATGTGTTAATATTGTTCATTAATAAAAAAAAAAAACATAGGCGGTATTCAGAATATAATTGTTCGTACCTAACAATTCAAACGGGTATTTAATGATTCTGTACTTTCTTGTATATTCCAATGGAAAACGACCAAGTTCCACGTATAACATTTCGTTGTTTGAAGATGTTTTAACTTTAAGTAACTTTCAGTAAGTTAAGTACTTGCCAAAAATTATAAAGTACGTTTTCTATATTCAATCCTCTGGTTTCCCCGTCAATTCACAGGAGTATCAAACAAACATGATATGGCTTTGTGAATAAGACTCATACTTGAACACAGAAAACAGGCAAACATTGCACACAAAGATAGAAATAATGGTCAACACAGTCCAGATTTTTACCATTATAAGATCATGTTTCATTAGTATCGACAGTTAATTTCCATTGTTCACAATAAATAGCAAGATTATCCAGCGACTCCTGCAAGCTTTCCCGAAAACAGCATTAGGCCATCAACATATAGCATAAGGGAGATCAAAAATCATAATGTTGATTACATGTTGTTAACATACATGGGGAAAATTATATCAAGTTTCACCTTGCATTAAACTGATAACATTATCAAAGAAATTAGATAAACAACTTTTATGTTTTACACATGATCTTACATATTCATATGTTGATTTGATGATATGTACAAGTTTGATCTGACTCTTCACTTAGATAGTTTACACTTTAAATTTACTCCGTCAACAAAGTCAAACACAATTTAAAATTAGACAACATAACAAAATAGATGCTTAATTTATCTTAGAGATTTAATTATAATTGAATGTAGAGTGAAAATTGCACCAACAGTACTGAGTCCAGGACGAAAACCAAACTTAGCATCTGTAGTAACGTTATAGCATTCAGACCATTTAGCTAACCTAGCATTTAAAATAGACATGAATAGCTTTCCAAGACAGCATATTAAACTGATACTTCGAATTAAATGTCAAGTGTATCACCTTTTTTCTGAAAATCAGAATATCATAGCCTCCGACTAGTCCGATAAGAAACAACTGGAATATGAAATTCCATTAAATAATCTGCATACAGATTGGAAACAAAAGAATCTTTACCAACTGAACAACACTCAATAATTAATCAATACCGTGAGATTTGCAGTGATTCAAATTACAAATAGGTCTTTCAGTTTCATTAACTGCAATCTGGGGATCTTATAAAACATTTATGCTCATTTGGGCCCATAATGATTTTGATGACGAAAATTTTATGAAGAACAGTTTGGAACTTAAAGTACAGCCGAAAAACTCTAAATGTGTTTAACAGTTTTAAAACTGGAGTGGTCAATTCCTTAACATCTCGTACATTATGTACGTCAGTGCGAAACGTCACACTCTTCTATTGTCTATAGTAAATCTTCTATTGGTTGTGTGATAAGAACTACTATTCTATTGACATTAATGACCTGAAAAAAATGTTTCGAAATAAGCTTGAGGGTGGTATTTTCAAGTTTATTCCAATATATTACTTTGAAATTTCCTATATGTTTTAATGCTTCTGCAGTATTATAAAACTTTTTTAACGATTAAGTACCTGTGATTAGTTGTTTAAGTTTTACAACTGTTGAACACATTTAGAACATGTTTATGAAGTATGATAAACATTTTTAATCAGGATCTAACCAAGGCTTGTCCTTACTCACGTGTGTACCTCTGTTCTTTCGAATACGCGTCTTTGCACTCGCAGTAATGTTATGAATGGACTCATAGTTCTGTTCAACGCATCCGTAAATATACCTATAGATTGTTGTGTTACTTCGCTGGACAGTGTTACAGAAGCATAAATGTTCTCAATATAATTCGCGAGAATATCTAAAAAATTGTCCATTCAGTTAATCATTTGAGTGATAACGCCTTATCCATTAGGACTACACTATGTATAACTACTAACATAATCACTACCTGTATCTTTACCGATAGATATACGTACACCTGTTGTTTTACAAAAAAAAACCAATTAATCTATTTCCGGATTCATTTTCAATTTCTTGGTTTAAACGGACGCCAAATTCCTCGAGAGTCTTTTCAAAACTAACATGGATATTGACATCGTTTACAAAGTCACACATAAAAACAGTACGACAATTAGAATAGCTGATTAACATAGTTTCTCCCTCAGCGGAATAACGATTGACGACAACCATTCCATTACATTGAGTAGTAGTTGTAGGTCTTCTAGGTATAGTATAAGAATGAAAACATTCTATATATCAACACAAAGATAGATAAACTGTTTATTAAAGAATTTTCAGAAAAAAGTTTCCTTGAATACCAGTAAATGAATGCTAACTTCATTGTAATAATATGCAAGAACCAAATATGTGGAGACGAAGTTTACTTAAAGTTTAGATGAGAAATAAAAGATTTGATTATTTAATTTTGACAAAGACATTAGATAAGATCCCCATCATTACGCCATCCAGCCAACTGTCATGTCTTCTCCATAGATGGACCTGTTCATTCCCAGGTTAACATGCTAATGATAGTTAAATTAGATCCTAAGTTATTGATGTGATATAAAAAGAAATTATATAAAGAGGAATTTTAAAATATTTTTTCAGTTAACACGATTTTAAAGATTTACCTGTATTACCCTAACTTGCTTCTGGTTGAATGGGTTCACATGTACACCTGTACATTACTGCTGGACACTATATACGCACTACCTGCCGGGATTTTAAATATAGATATACTTTCGTGAATTCTTTACTGAATTTATTTTCCAACAGTGTGTGATCAAAGATCATATTGTCTTGGGTTGCATATGTCCTTATCTAAAGCACAGAATCTGTTTAACATAATTGTTCATATTTCCTGTCCTGAAATAATAGATATAGCTTTAAATTACCAGGCATTGCGATGTATTGTGAAATCATGACGTTAAAGGTAATATATGACTGCCTCAAGTCTAAATATAGTCAAATCTTTATCAATATAACACTGGATAGGAATCCGGTCTACCACAAGTGTTTCAGGCACGCTACTTACAAGACGATATGGCCACTGCCTGCGACACATCTACTCTGACGGGTGACAGCCTTGAAGGGTAACTTTCGCAGTAGTGTTGTTACGACAATTATTTTGTATAGATTGAAAATACAATAAAGTGTAGTTTTTACATGTTATTTCTACGTTTTCAGCGTTATTATATATTTAATAGTTTAACTTGTTTGAACTCACCTGGTGTAGAATAAAAACGGATATTGTGTATATTACTTAATAAATTAGAAACTATCCGAATGCGTGGATTTGGCTAACACAGATCAATATCATAATCAAGGAAGATATCACTTTGTGTCGTGAAGTAAATGTACAGGTGTTCCGAAGTTCTCCGATATAATTATAATGAGTATATAATAATGTCAAATAATTTGTTTTCGAACAAAGTATCCGCATTGATGTATGAAACAGAAATAAAATCAAGCACAAAATTTCTAAATAAAAAAATGTCAACAAACAGGACAAATTACAACAAAACCTGTTTTAAATCCATAACAATGTCCACAGTCGAAGACCATCTATGGTAGACAATTATCAATGTACAAAGTAAACAAACATCAGCTGGATCAGTCATACCTCAATAATAAAACATTTTATTATGGTGAAATAAAATATCAGCAAATTGTTTTAATCACAAACTGTGTTGTGGCCATGTTTCATTAATATCATTTTTGAATAATTTGAAATTATCTGCATGACAACATGTGAGTGTTTTAGATATTCACGAGGTGAAATTTTTATGAGGTTGATTTAATTGGTTCAGTGTGTCAACTGATGATTTACTTATCTGGATTGTATAAAGACTACTCAAATCGTTGTCATTTTCAGGGATGAAATACTGAAACAGCTGAACGAGAAAGCATACGCTGTCGTCCCGAATGTCCTCACACTCGATGAGTGTGACAGATATATGGCAGAGTTCAAAAGCTGGCATAAAAAATTTGACGATTTAGGAGTGGAATGTTCGAGTAGAAATTCTGTCATTCAATCCTACAGAACAGGCCACTTCTCAACTTCCTGGGAGGTCCGTCTCAAGTCCAAACCAATCTTTGCAAAAGTTTGGAAAACTGATAAATTGTTGTCAAGCGCAGATGCGATAGCTATATCGAAACCACCAGAACAAGGTGAGATCTTCATAAATACGTTGATGAATCAGCATTCATACCTTTTTAAAATGAAGTTTTTGTATTGGTGTGTTAAACTTTGCATTCATTTCTAATAATACTCTCCAATCAGTAATAAATTGATTGCAGAAATGTAGCTTTAATTTTACAAATATCTCATCAACTTTTGTATTTTTCCATTCACTATTTAATAGCAATAATTATGTCACAAATATCGCACCAATATTTTGTACATTCTATGTAACAGGAAGTGAGGAATACGCAGATCCGGATAAAGAATGGTTACACTTAGACCAAGCTGTATATAGGCAGGGTCTCCATGCCTATCAGGCTGGAGTGTATCTAGAGGAAACAACAGACACTGATCATTGCTTACGAGTCATGGCGCATTCCCATCTGTACCACGCAGACTTCTTCAATACATTTCCACCAGCTGCGACAAGGTCACGGCGATGCGAGTTCCTAAAACTGAGCAAGGCGCAGAAGGCATGGTATGATGCCAGAGGATGTAAACGAACAAAGGTACCAGTTCCTAAAGGAGGAATGGTATTGTGGGATTCGCGAACAGTTCACGACAATATGAAGCCA